AAAAAAATTATCAAGTTGTAGGGCTTGAACCCGACGTGAATCGAACACGCAACCTTCTGATCTGGAGTCAGACGCGCTACCATTGCGCCACGGATCCTGTTGAAACTTTTAATGCTTGTAGTAATTTTTAAATATATCAATATTTTACTAAAATGTACTTATTTTTATAATAAAAAATATTTTCTTATATAATTTGTATTTATATGCATACTTGTTGAGTTTAGCTAATGTTTTGGGGAGTAACATTAATCCAATTCATTCAGTAGTTGAGTCTAATAGACATTATCATGAAATCTCATATTTACTATTTCAATTTTTTTAAATGTTCATAATAACAATCAGATCTATTAAAAATTACTCTTTTTTTTTTGTATCTGAAAAGAGATAATTGATAAACATTTTCTTAAAATATATTATTTAATCTATAATTACTTCAAAATTAAAAGTTTATCTTACAAAAAGACTCACACAAATATAGATCTCAACACTTATATCTACTAGAATAATTCTACATCAACAACCTCTCTCACAATCTTGATGTGGTAACTCGTAATTGATCAGTTCACAATAGATCCCACATGGGTCTTGCATGGATCCCACTAATTAATTACAAGCTGATAAATTATGAGTAATCACATTACGATTATGAAAAAAAGTTTGTGAGAAATAATTATTAGTATAGTATTACTCTAACTAGCATGACAATTTAGGTAAGGGACTGGATGGCATCCAACTCCCACCAAGCCCTTGAGAAATAAGGGAGTTTAATGGTAACCCCATAGTTTCTAAAAAGTATTATATATCCACCTATCAAGGAGGTTTGATACTTTCTTACAAGTTTAAATTATAATATTAAGGGGACATTATATTGAGTAGAACGTTACTTAATCATGTTTTTTAAATATCATTATATCATTTTTTCATAAATTAATTTAAGAGTAAAGAACATGTTCCCACCCAAGGTAAAGCGAAATGACAAAGCCCCACCTTCGGTTTCCTAAATTTCAGATTCCCACCCTTATATTAACACTGTTACTAATTTTTTTACTCTAATGGAATTTAGAAAATGATATTACCAAACTACTCATAAAATAAATTAATAAATAAAGTTAAATTTCTTTTCCCCCTCACTTTTTTTTTTGTTTTTTTTTCCACTCTCTTCTTCCTCACATCTTTCTTTCAATTTTTCTCTCTCTATTGAACCTTCATTTCTTTCCAGTCAACTCCTTCCTTTCTCCTCCTCTGTCCTTTCTTTCTTCTCTTCTTCCTTTCTTTTTTCTTCTTCACTCTTTCGTTTCTTTCTTCTCTCCTTCTCTCCATGGTTGCTTGGCCCTCGCGTGGGTTTCGGTCGCCGCACGACGGCCTCGTCACGGCTGAATTTTGGCCAAATCGCGGCGGCCTGATTTGGACTTGGTGGCTAGAAAAGAGACTGCTGATTGGATTGTTAAGGTGGGTTCTTAGAAATATGAATTTTGTGTTGTTTGGCCTTTGATATGGATGGTTAATATTCGTGGTTTCTCCAAAAATGGTTCTTCCTTTGAAACATTATATTACCTCATTTTAATGTGTTTGATGGTTTCATTGAAATTGACGGGAAAGAAATGAAGGTTCAGAAGAGAGAAAGTGAAAGAAATTTGAGATGGGGAGGGTGCTTGCGAAGAAATTTGAGTTGGGGAGGTTTATTTGAAGTTTTAATTTTCATTTCGGATTTGATGTTGTTCAAATGACCATTTTACCCGTCGACTGTCATTTTAAACGATTTCTGTCCATTTAAGGGTGGGAAACTGGAATTTATAAAACCAGGGATGGGAATAGAGATTCGCGAAACCTTGGGTGGGAAAATGTTGTTTACTCTTAATTTAATATATGATTATTTAAGAAGAAGAAAATTCTATATTTTACAGAATCCTCACTCTTATGTTGATTATATTAATTTTAGCTTGATGTCCCAGAAGCCTTTCAATTTGACATGATCATGGCATCTTTTACAAGCACTAAACTTGGTATTTTCCATTGAAATTATGGTGGATTCAATAATTTAGACAATTAAATTTTGTTAACGGGTAGTAGTATATATAACAAGTATGTATTATGTAAACAAATTAAATTGAGTTGAAAATAAGAATTTCATTAAAAAATTGAAATGTGTTGAGTAGGAAGTATGATCATTTCATCACTTTCGCTATCTCTTGTTATAAACATTTGAAGCTTATCCAAAGAGAGTGACAAAACATTATCCGTTGATTTATCTCACTGTCGGTGATGTGAAAGGGCCCAGTCTCTTCTGCATGCTTTAACCAAATTTAGACGAAACAACAAATGTCTCCAACCAAATTACCTATTCTCTTCCCACTCCAATAATAAATAATCTAATTAAGATATTCCCTTAATATGACCGGTTAATTAATGCATAAGCATTTAGTTTAGCACAAATAGACGTGTGCATGATAAAACCAAACCAAAAACCACAGTCCAAACCGAATCACTCCGACCAGGACTAACCGGCTAACCGTCCACAGTCATCACTCATGCTGATGCTGGTACTCACGAAACTTCGCTTTACTCCCTGTCAAATTAGTACTCCCCCTCCGCCTCCATATTCTGTACACTTTGGACCCACCAATCGAATCTCTATCCTCACCTTCGACACGTGATTATCTTCTACTTTAATTTCAAGTTTACATCTAAATTTCTATTGGACACGTATCTAGATTCTAATCATTAATTTATATTTAAACATTTCTCTAGTTATTTATTTGCCTCTGTCAACCTAAGTTTCTCTTCACCAAAACTTCTTTTAAAGAAATGGTAATTCGTGGACCCGGAAATCAGGTGGTACTGATCTTGTTTTATACAGTATGTCAAAATTCAAATATGATCTTCTTTAGAAATAAATAAAAAATAATGTTTGGTTATGAATAGATAAATATCTCATTTTTTTTAAATTGGAATTTTAAACGTGCTATCAAGTTCCGCTGGTAAAAATTTGTTTGCCGCCTATTTTACAAAGTTAAATTTCCCGCATTATATTATGAAAAAAATAATTATACTTTTGAAAAAAATCGAAAACATCTTTCATGACCCTGAATAAACAAATAGAGAAACATAATAACACGTGTAAAAAAAATGACCAACCAATAAGAAAAGCGAGCGTGTAATAATACAAGAGTAACAGCTATAACAACTAACCACATCCGTTGATCTCGTAGAAGCTTAGGTGGGAGAGACAGAGAGAGCAAGACCGTCTGGTGGAGAGTTATAGCAAATACTCACAATCTCTCTCTCTCTCCTTTGTCTTTAAGGTGTTGTCACGTTTCTCGGCTTCTCAAAGCTAGTGGGTACTTGTTTGGAGCAAGGATTTTGACTTTCTCGAGAAAATAGCTTCTCGAGAAAGTTTGTATAGAATGGGAAGATTTACGAAAATGCCACTGAGCTTAACGCCTGTTGAGTTTGGAGCTCTGGTTGGCAACTGGTGGGACGAGATCAACGATTCTTCGGGATGGCAGGACGGGATCTTCTACACTCTCTGTGCTGCTTACGCGCTTGTTTCCTCTGTTGCTCTGGTTCTCTTTGCAATCTCTCTCTTTCTTCTTCTTTTCAACCGTTTCTCTCAATTATTATTTCATATTTACTGTTATGTAATCACAGATAATTTTTAAATAAGTACATAGCCCGTTTTGTTTTATTAGGTCTTGACATTGCAGTTCAATTTTGTTTCTAACTGTCTTCAAAATTGTGAAATTCTTCTGCTATGATGTTGTGGTGTGATTTGTTTAACGGAAATTATGAGGCTGTTAAATGAGTGTTTATGATGTGCAGATACAATTAATTAGAATCGAGTTAAGAGTGCCTGAATATGGTTGGACGACGCAGAAGGTTTTCCATCTTATGAATTTCATTGTTAATGGAGGTGATGATTTGGAGTCTTTGATATATTAAGAGTTTTGTTTATCAGTTTTTCTTTGTCAGAAATTGATTTGATTTCTTTATTGTTATAGTACGTGCTATCGTGTTTGGATTTCACCATCAAGTGTTTAATCTGCATCCCAAGGTCAGTTTGTTGTTTATGTCTAATTCTTAACTGTCATGTATGCATTGGCTTTTAGTTTTATTGAACTTGTTCATCCTTATGTATATGATCTAAACATTATATTACTTTATTCCTTACTATTTATTTTGCTGGGGATTCTTGGATGCATTGGGGCTAAAATTGTGTTTTGAATGCTGTGACTGAAAAAGGTTGAGCAATTTGAAAACGATGTTTCTTAAATAAGCTGTATTGACTCATATTTTAAAGAACCTAGTGCAGAGCATAGTTCTATGACTAAAAACATTGTGGAATTTATATGCTTACGAAATACTCTTCTTCCCATCCTTCATTCAGATGATAACATGATCTGCTTTCATTGTAAAAGAGCTAAAACATTCGATGATATGTTCAAAATGAGGATGTTATTATCCATAGTATAATTATCCACAAATTCCCCTTTGAAAATGTTAAAATAATACAATAGGATTTGATCATTCTCTCTATTTATTTTCTTTGGTTGAGACTCTCAAACTTCAATGTGTACCGGATGAAGATTTTTGATACAATGCTTCTAGATGGGAAGTTGTACTGTATTTGTTCGCATCAACGTCCATATTCATGATTTCTCAATCAGAAATGTAATATGCTACAAATTCAATTAACAGCAAAATGACTTTCTGATATGTATATATAATTACCCTGGAAGGCCTTTCTCATGATATGCTGTGCTTTGTGTTTTTGGTTATAAGGGTAGGGGAAGGATCGAGTAGCAGTTTTTAGATCCTCTGTTCAGTAAAAAGTATTGTCACATTATGTTAGGATGTTCTTTAGATGATTGTACAATAAGAACAAAAAAAATTGCATTAACAGGAACTCTGAACTCTTTCATTGCAAAAAGCTTTATGATCATTGTTCGGTTAAAGTGAACTGTAAAACAAAGAACATTACTCTGAAGAGAGGTGTTCATCCACCAATTAATTTTTTGATTATTTTGGCTGAAGGTTTGGCATCCTCGTGGATTGTAGGGTTAGGAGATAAGTCTGCAAATTTCAGATTGTTTGGTTAGTTGTATAATATGAGATTATTTGTATTAATATTTGCTCTCAATGGTTGGCCTAGCCATCTACTCTATTGGTAAATTCAATTTCTTGATCAGTGAATTTTGCATCTCTGTGTTAAACTGGAATTAGATGATATTTTAATATGATTTTTGCATCATATGCATCTACAATGCCTAAGGCTTTCCTTCTGACATAATTCTGCTGTATATTTAACCAGGTACTGACATGGGTATTATTGGATCTTCCTGGACTTCTGTTCTTCTCTACATACACGCTACTTGTCCTCTTTTGGGCAGAGATATATCACCAGGCAAGTAAATGTTCATGATTGTATTGCATTACAGGTGTTTTTCTGTTATGGTTGTTAGTACAGCCATCTTAGTGATTTCTGCAGACATGTGGATGCTGTTATTTGTTTGAAATTATTGATGAATTAAAATTTTTTTATTGATGAGCAGGCTAGAAGTTTACCAACTGATAAACTCCGGATTGTTTATATCTCAGTCAATGCTGCTATGTACTTTATACAGGTGTGCTTGATCTCACATTCTTACATGGCATGAACATAAATGTAAATTCTATAGCTGGTTGATATATTTAGGTCTAGGGCAGTAGCTATCACTTTTTCTTTTTTTTTATTTACTAGAAGCTTCCTTGCATTGTTGTGTTGATTGATTTGAAACATGACATGGTAGGTATGCCCACTGGTTACTTGATAATGACTGAAATATTTAGAAGAAAATAAGCTGAACTTCAATTCATGCCAGTAAATGGAATCTCTTGACAAACTCAATCTACAGAGGGTCCTGCTTGCCTCTTTGCAAGCTTGATTAAAATTTCTAAATTCCCTTTTGAGTCTTCATGGCCTATATCAGAGTAAACACCTTTTGACCACCGGTTGAGTAGTAAAACATAGACAGAAACCTGGCTCACCTTTCCAGAATTCTTTTCTCTTTTTTTTCTGTGCAGGTTAGTTTAATCTCTTGGAATTGGGTGTGAAAACTAATTTTTGCCCCTTAAATATTGTGCTAAAAAGATTCAAGATGCTCATTATGCTTCTGATAGAGTATTAACTTAGAAGTAGAAATTCTAGTCCAAGGTTTTGTATGAACCCTGATGAAGCCCCGTATGATCTACTTCTGAAAAGTTGTTTTACCTTGGTAATTTATGTAAGATATTGCTGTAATGAGGCGTTTGTATCAGGTTTGCATCTGGGTATATCTCTGGATAGATGAAAACACAGTGGTGCAATTCATTGGAAAGATATTTATTGCAGGTACAGTCTGGTATCATATTATCAGCTAAGTTTCATATGTCCATTGCTGGAAATAGCACTTTATTTTGTCATTCTTTTTCCTCGGATTATTTTTGCATTCTAAGTAATGTTCTTCCATTTAACCGCTAAAATTTATTCTCTTTTCTCCAGTGGTATCATTTATTGCTGCACTAGGTTTCTTGCTATATGGAGGAAGGTGAGTCTTCTCCACTTGTTCAAAAGCTATGTAGTGTTTAAAGTATTAAAGCTGTTTCAATTCTTTTTGCTCACTTGAATTACATATGTTTATTTTGTTTGTGCATCTCCATCCTGTGGATTATCACCTACTGCGCTTTTAGGTTATTTTTTATGCTGAGACGCTTCCCTATTGAATCAAAAGGGAGAAGAAAGAAGCTTCACGAGGTTTGTTCCCTTTCTTCACTGTTCATCTTCTGGATCACTGAAAATTTTATATATTTGGATGATGCACTTATGTTCATGTGTATGATTGGTTTTGTATTTGGCAGTCTGGAGAAATAGAATTTTGTGTATTGTTGTTGTCAATAGATTTGCTCATGGTCTGACGTTTTTCCATGACAGTTAGGTATCATATAGGAATTATATTTTCTGTGTGCTTGTATGTCTGTCTATTCAGTGGAATTTACAAAGACCTGTATCATGGCAGTCCGGAAGAGTATTCATGCAGTTGTGTATTGTTTCTCATGATGGTACCATAGCTACAGTTATGAGCAAGATGGGGTGGGAATATTTTCTGTCCATTTTGTCATATAAGCATTGCATTTTCTATGGGTTTGCATGAATTCTATTCAAGTGGAAGCTACACAGAGTATTCATTGTAATCCACTGTTAGTATACATGCACTGTGTCTATGGGAGGAATTCACTGATGTGCTATGATTCTACCATAGCTATGGAAGGGAACAATAGAGGTGGGATCAATATTATTCATCACAATATGAAGATTCAATGTGGACCTGTTTTAAGGGACTGCAACAGCCTTTTCTTTTAGGAAACTTAGAAAGATTGATGGTTACGGGATTACCTTGGAGCATTAAGCTTAAAGGAGTATCAGTGTATCATATATGTGATATTTGCTTTTTTGCAGGTTGGATCTGTTACAGCCATTTGTTTCACCTGCTTCCTGATACGGTGCTTTGTGGTATGTTTCAAACTATATTGCACCCTGGTGATTTCAAATAAATATCTTCTCATGCTTTTAAAATTTTTTCAACTTTTGGTGCTTAAGAAACTAATACTTTTTCCACTCTTCTATACCTGTCATACTCTTGTTATAGTTCAGTTTTAACTGCGGAAATGTGATCAATTTGATTGCACTTTCTTGGGAAGAATAACAATTAGAAGAGTTCGATCTTTTTATATCTTGCCTGGGTTTCCTTAATAAACTTGTTCTAGTTTTATGTTTAAGAATTAAAAGGAAGCCCAGAGACTTGAAAAAGTAATCTTTGTGTGAAAAAGATGATAATATTTTGATACTTTAAAGATGATAAGATTTTAATACTTTAAAGATGATAATATTTTAGGTTTAGTACTTTAAACCTAAATTAATTCATTTAGGAGATGTTATAAAATGTGATTTAAAGTTGAGATAGTATCCTCAGCTGGTTTATTCTACCTCCATAAACAACACTGGCTGCACCAGTGGGTTGATGATATTATCGACCGGATTTCACGGACTGAAATAGGCAATGATCAAGTGTTATACTTGACAGGAAAAGAAATGATCTGGGTTGATGAACAAGGACTTAGTGGCCTGCCCAAGTACCAAGTAACTCAAATCACTCTTTTGAGTTGATTTGTCATTTACTGCTTAATTATGAGCTTTTCCACTCAATAATTTCAACTATTGGTTTATTTGATGCAATAAAATCAAAAATATGATTTTTCAATCTTGTTGGCTTTGACATGTTATAAGACAGTTTAACCAGTTTGACTTTCAGAGATAACATACACAGATCACAGACTCTTCAGTAGATGATCGTAATTAAATTACATAAAGGGTTTAATTCCCTGGTTTATTGTTAGATTACCCACAGGAGAGTTATAGGCTGTGAAATTTGAATACGCATGAGGGAGTTCCTAGCCATCTCTACTTGAACTATCTGTACTGTGAAGTGTCGATAATTGATCTAAACATGATTCAGAAATCTTGATTTTAATGTTTTCTGTGAATCAGAAAAATAGGTCATATGATAACATACTATTACTTCATTTGCTCTGTGATAGTGCTGCTTTCTTAAATGCACATTAGATAACTCAGATGTGTTTTTAACACAGTTCTCAAATTGCAGGATCTTCTGTCTGCTTTTGATACAGATGCATCACTGGATGTTTTGGATCACCCGGTTTTGAATTTGATCTACTACATGGTATTCATCTTAGCTTGTTTATTTGTATTTCCTCAGTCTTATGTATTTATCTACGTATGGGATTATGTTTTGATGTCAGCTGGTTGAGATCCTACCTTCAGCTCTGGTCCTCTACATACTGCGCAAGTTGCCTCCCAAGAGAATTTCTGCACAATATCATCCTATCCGGTAGTAAGACGTTCCTTTTTTCTCTTGTTGTTTAACCCTCCGTCCCTCCCCCATCCAAAGAACAAGGGGTTTTTAATGTTTTGAGAGTTAGATGGTATTGGAATTGAAGAAGAGAAGCAGAGCCAGGTGGACAATCCAGATTTATTATTCTGGCGAGGCTCATATTGTCGGCAATTTTTTTACATGCATATGAGGAAGCTGTATGCAGCTTGCTGAAGGGGAATTCTTTTTCATCGGTATCTTCATGGCATATGTGAAGAATTGGTTATTTGATGTAATATATTTGGTCACTTTGACAAAGGAAATTTTCCATTTGTTTATCGTGGTAGCTGCTTCTGTCACTTCTAGATGGTAGACATTGATTGTGTTGTGTGATAAAAGGTTTTTGACTGAATTGTTATACTTCTTTTCCACCTTAGTAGATTGTTAGGTTTTTTCCTGTATAAATTGAATTAATGTTAACTATTAATCTTCATTTTTTGTTATGTTACTTGATTTCCCCTCGATTTGCTTAGTTGATTATAAATCTTACAGCCATTCACGTGGAAGCTGTGCACTTACAACAAACTAGAGTGAAATTTTTTTCTTAAGTGATCAAATGTGCTGTTGCTTTATTCTAGTTAAAGAATACTACTAAAAAAAAATAGGCCTATTTGTTTTCATGCTTGAATAAAAATATATATTGTTTTCGTCTTTAAGACCAAAGGATGAAACTCAATATTCATTATTAAGGCATGATTAGCCAAACATGAATTGTTTTTTGGTCATTCATATTTCATTAAAGGTGCGTTTGGATCGGTGGCGTATAAGATAATGAGGTAATTTTTGTTTATTTTGTAAAACTTCGATATTTGATTTGCAAGTAATAAAATCGGGAATTTTTTATTGTAAATAATGTTTACTGTTGGTAATGTGAAAGGTAGTCTAATACACTCTCCCACCCTTGAGATTAAAACAGTATGGGGGTAATTTGATTTTTATACCAATTTTACCCTTAATTAAATACCATTTTAGACACAATTGCCTTTAAATGTTTACCAAATAACAATTAGCCCAACCTCCCTACATTTGAGTTATTAACTAAAACACTCACTCACAAAAAAGTTTAAAAGTTAACAAAATACCTCCAACCACCTAAGATCATTGTCGGCCGTTACTCACCATCGTCTGCCGTCGACGTTAATCGTTGTAATGGTACACGACTAGTAAGATCTGGCTGGTCATGCACCGGTAAGGCCTTTTCCAAGATTTGGCTGTTTCTATGGCGTTTCACAGCCACAGATTTGACCGTGAAACAGCCATGAATTTGTGATCCATGGCCGAAAATGGTTTTGCCGAAACACCGCAGGCCATATAAGGCCAATCGTACGCCGTTTCATCGACTGTTGGTGGCGGACGACGGTGGTGGCTGGCTACCAATAGTGGCTTGGGGTGGGTGGGGATGATTTTGCTACAAATTAAAGTTTTACATGATAGGTTGTTTTAACAAAATTTCAAATGAAGGGGGTTAAAAGTGGTTTAAAAAATAATATTATATTAATATATATAACAGATCTACTCATTTATCCTCCCAACCAAATATGTTATTTATCAATTTATTCTAATCAATAAAAAACATTTTCTAAACATTCTCAATAATTTTCAAAGTGATTTATCTTTCAGTTAATATAACATCTCTCTATAATAAATCATTATATGATCAACTACACATAATGGATGAAAAAAATATTTCAAATTTTTTTTATCTCAAATGATTGGAAGAGTAGAAACAAGACTAAATATAATTTGTTCATGGGAAGAGCCAATCATTAGTCCCAAACCGTGGGGGTAGTGGAATACGATACATAAATGATAAATCAGTTACTAAATGAATAGAAAAGGCTTGGTTGTTTTTCGGTAATCATAATTCAGTGCCAATTAATGCTCGAGCATAACTCAGCATTTTGAGGATCATTAATTTCCATCATGAAAACCATAAACAAAAATGTCAATGACTAGCACTAATCGATAAAAAAAGTTTACTCTCTTCATTGACCTTCTAAGTTAGAACTACCTTGAAATCAGTCAATCACACACCACATTATTTGTGACTTAGGTTGAAAACATTAGCTCAAGTTTGTAAAATGTTTCATAGACCTAAAAAATTAATTGAGTATTGACCCAAACACTCTAATCATTAAAATAAAATAAAATAAAAAGCCAACCAGAGTCATATTTGGAACCCAAGATTGGCAGTAAAATTACTTTCAAAAATGTTTCGCAGTAAAAAGAGGGAAAACATTGTGTTATTTTTTTGTAATTGCTAAAGCTTCGGTCACACCAAATGCACAAGGAAGCACCGTATACTAACTACAAGCAGTCCGTCATCTCTATATAAATTACAAAACTCACCTTAAATCCAGTCACTGATCTAGCACCAGCAACTTCATATACAAAGTTAATCTCAATGAATCAAGACACAATGACCACAATTAGCATATCCTGGTTGATATTCTTCGGACATGGGCCCTACGAAACTTTCTGCAGGGCCCACAATTCCCATGGGCAATAAACCAATATGACCAAAACATACTCTGCCAGTCTCCTCCCTTCAAGGGTCTCGCTTAATCTTGGTGAACTTCCTCGGCAGGTGGTGGAGCGAATCTCACATTTGCAGGGCGTGCCACCACTACAGCTTCATCTGCAAACAATGCTTTGATGAAGGATGGAGTTCTTAATGGTCGGCGACCAGTCATTTGTGGATACACATCTTCAAGAAAATAGTAGGCATGACCAGCAATCATTCCCTGGATTACAAACAAAAGTTTTTAAGTTGACAAGGAATCACAAAACAGAAAATAGAGAAAAGGAGTGAGACATTTATATTAAAAGTGAGGCATCCTACAGGGTCAAACAACACAACCTCCACAATATACCCACACTACCCCAACAGATCTCCCCAACCCAATTTCCCAAAGAATTCCATCTTCACCTACTTTGTATATATACTCATTCTGAATGGTGATGACATGGTGAATTTCATCATACAATAATATTCCTACTTGTTAACTAGTAAGACTGTATTAGGTGCACATGGTGAGAACGTGCAAAAATGTTCATTAAAAATTGAATATTATTTCAATATTTTTGACATTGATGCGAAACTTCTTTTTAACAGAAAACGCACCAGCAGATCCACCCAAGCACTAGCACCAACAAAGACAGAGAATCCCAAAAGCACCTGCAATCAAGAAGGCAGATATGCATTACATTCTACAATGGAAAGGACGAGAGGCTGAAATTACTGCTATAAAAGCTGAGAAGGAAACTTTCCAATTTCTACAACAAAAGGCACCAGGAAAACTAATACTTTATATTTTTTCAAATTAAAAAGAACAAGTAGAAGCTTACTCACCCATGGTAGATAAGCTGCGGTAAATGTAAACAAACCCAAAAAACTCATATGGATGAAAGGATTTTGTTTGCTCCACACATACACCTGTATAGTTTTAAGAAAATTAGATGGCCTCCAGGTAATTATCAACAACAATATCACCAATAAAACCATGTTGCAAATTGGAAAAATGCAAACTAACCATCATGAGTGTCAATGAATTGCTAAGGAATATGATTTTTGCAAATGATTCTGACAAATAAGGTATCATTCCCCCAACAAGAACAGTGCCTGTTAAAAATGTTGCTCCAAACAAAAGCATGTAAAAGAAATCTGCAGTCCTTCCCCTGAAAGAGTTCTCCTCAAGAAGCTTGCAGTATCGAGCAAGAAAGAACATATGGAACAAAAAGTCCAAATCTGGCAATACAAATAAACAAACATGTCAATAATTTCGACGATTGGTGAATGAAAGTCATGTCAACTTATCATGTATGCCTCTTTGGAATAAATCCACTTCATACTGCAGCATGAAAGTCATGTCAAGTTATTGAATATAAATAACTTTCTTAGTTGGGAGGGGGATGAGAGAGTGACAAAATAGACTTCAGACTCCCCAGACAAAATAGACTTCAGACTCCCCATAGTTATTTGAATTAATAAGATCTAACCTCGGGACTATGTTAAAAACATCAGGCAGGACAAGAAGGTCGCTGACTAGAGAAAAAGCTATCGGTCACCATGTCTTAACCACAAACTTGAGTATCTAGACTTTTATAGAGAAACAAAACCTACATTGCCATCATGTATTAACCATAAAAAAATTTAATGCAGATATGCTCATATAGTCATACTCAAGACACCACAGGTATGAAGAAAATCCGCAAATCATTTCCAAGCCTAATAACTTCATTTGATAAAAAATTCACAGGTTTTGACAAAATAGCACATTGCTGTTACTGTGGAGCATTTGTGTAAATGTAGAGGTATACCTGATGTGCCTTCCTCTACATGCTAAAGAAGCCATGCCAGTTTCGACAGTAAATCTCAAGCAGTAAAATTGAGATGCAGAAGAGACACTCAAATTTTTATCAATATCAAACTGAGAAACTTACCCATTTTCCGGAAGAAAAGAAAATTAGTGATTAGGCGCCAGAACTGATACTGCTTAACCACAAGTGTCGGATGCAAGCACAGATTAAAGGGCGATATTATCTATGACATTGTAACACAAAACAGCAAATACATGAGAATAGTAAACAATAGCTCCTCAAACTTACAACCCAATCAAAACAAAAAACCAAAACAATAATAATAAATCTCAATAAAAAAATTAAAACCAATCATTTTCATGCTAAACACAAAACTAAAACTTAGGATCTATCATTCAATGAAAGCACCGAAATTCTCAAATTTGCACCAAACCCACTTAAAATCCTCTCAAAACAAAGGAACCCATTTACCCAGAAACAAAATCACCACGCAATACACCATCAAACCCCCAAAACCCTAAAAACGTACACCAAAAAAATCACAAATTCAAGCCCTTTCTATTGAAAGGAAAATAAAAAACACATAAAGAACGGAATGACAGAGAGAGAGAGAGAGAGAGAGAGAGAGACATCGAGAGAGCAACCGATTGTGGTGACGATAGCGGCTGTCAGATAGGTGCGGGTGATGATTGGCATCTGTTTGTACCATTCCTCTACAGCTTGGGCCATTTTTCTTCTACAAATTTTTCGACAATTTGGTTTATGAAAGAATTTTGAAAGCCCTCAAAACACGACGAATTTCAATTTTCGGGAAAAAGGGGTTTTTGATTCAGAAAAATTTGTGATGGTGATCAACGACATGGTACAGGATACAGCTATTAACGTACTTATGCTGTTGCTTCTGCATCTCGAATCATCGATGACAAACCTCCACCAATAAAGAGCGAGTTCTCCTCACGCTCCAATCGGGTGCTTTTGGTAAATTTACTAATGTATGAATGTTCATTGTTCACATTAAATGAAAATACTTAAAAGTATAATATTAAAGAATTAATCATCCATTTATTTAAGTAGATTTGGAAACTAAAAATAAAATTATATCAGTAACTTTTATATGAATGGGCTTATGATACTTTCTATTCTAA